CACAATATTCTATTCAGTACTAATATGACATTTATTTATTTATTATTATTGTTAATTTCTATTTTTGTATATTTTTTTTGTAGTTTTTTACAATTTAATATATAAATTTTATTATTTATAAGTTTATAAAATATTATAAATGTATAAGATCATATGATATTTGCATACAAATTATTTGTATGTACTTATAAAATTGTCGTTTGTTATAGTCTTATAATTTTTTTAACAATTCATAATTTGCACATTGCTTGATAATTGACCATGTTTAACCCATAATATTTATCTTCCGCTAGGATTATTAAGTGCATTAAATGTATTAAACTTTGATAAACAAAATTTAATTTTTAGTAACTTTAATCCTTATGCAACAAATATTTTATTTTTATGTTTTTATTTTTATTTATATTTATTTCTTTAATTCATTTTTTCAACCTATATAATGAGTTACATAGTATCTATTCGAATATTTTGATATATTATATATTTTCATGATTACCAAGTGCTATAATCTAAATTTTTATACATTCCTTTTTTATTAACTTATTTTTTCTTAAGAAAATGCCCGAAGAATTCCTAGCAACCTCAATACCCAGATGAAAAAATAAATATTTTTAAAAATTGGATAGTTTTTAATGTACATAGGTACTTCTAAGGTGGAATTTATAATTTTGAATTGCACCTGACCATCAAATTTTATTTTTATTAGTATTATTTAAATTTTCAATACTATTATTACTGCATGTGATATATTCAATGGGGATGTACATTTTTATAGTTAAATTGACTACATATTTGAAACTTTTATTAATATTTTAGATTATTTATTAAGTTATTATGATTTAAACATAGTTATTCTACTTATTTTATTAAATATTTTAAGTACTTTTGAATAGTGAATATAATTAATTAAATTAATACCTACTGCCATAAATGATAATATATTTAATCAAATCAATTTTCATAATAATTTTTTGAATTATGCTAATAAATTACTATTAAATTAATAGAAGATCTTACTTAGAATATATCTAATAAATTTACAGTCAAAATTTCAATTTAAGTCAATTTTTAGTTAATGAGTAATAGTCATTGTCTCATTGAGTGTATAAAAATTAATTATATTTTTTATGCATATGATTTGCTAATAAATAAATATTAATTAAATGACAAATATAGATGAAAAAATTTCTCGCCCAAAATCATGTCAATTATGGCAATAAAGATTGGTCCATTATATAGATATAGGTATAGACATATATATAGATATAGATTTATGGTAAAATTATAGGTTCGTATATTTATGGTATCATTGGGTGTCATTATCTTAATTGGTGGTATATTTTTATGTATTATTAAATATATAATTTTATGCATTATTAAATATCAGAATGATTCTCATACTTAAAATTGATTTTTTATTTTTAGAAAAATTGAAACATAAATTTATTATTATTTTTATATAGATTTTTTACTTAAAATTCTCAATCAATAACTTTTAGGAACTTCAAAGGTAGCTGAATAGTAAGTCGCATAAATATTAATGTAGATTCCATATTAATTTGAATTATTAATTGGATACTAATTTAGTTAAGTTAATAGAAAGTGCAAATAGAAACACGGATCTAAAGTATTATTGACAAATGCAAAAATAATTAAAGTTACAATTATACAACCAAATGTAGAAATATTGTCAATTATAGTCATTGCATATCATCTTTATTTAACAATAAATTCCATCAACTCCCTCTTTATATATATATAGATGCTTTGCTCTTATTATTTCAGGTGTATAAACTGACTGAAAATGAATGCTTGCTTAGGTTCAGTTTGCATAATTTAATCTTCATCATTTTTGTATTTTTATGTTTATGTGACGAAATGTGTATTTTTATGCTTATGGGACGAATTGTGTATTTTTTATTTAATTAATGTTGTTTTTCTTAATTTTTAGGCTCAAATAATCTCTTTTGGGCCCAAAATGAAAAAAAAATAAAAATTGAAGGCCCAAAACAAGGATTTTGGATTTAACCGGTTAACCGCCAAACCGGACCGTCCAATGCGGTCCGGATTGTAGTCGGTTAAAAAATAAAACCGGTCCGGTTATGGACAAGAAAAAAAATTAATCGTTAGGTCCGGTTTGGTCATGGTTTGGACTAAAACCGGATCAATCCGGACCGTAAACACCCTATGGCACCATACACACTAGAAGTCAGGGTGTAAATGCGTCCATTCGTCGGGAGAGGGACATGAAGACGATGATCGATCAGGCTCGGAGGGTACAGACTGGTCTGGCTAGCCTGAGTTCAAGACCCCCCGCACCAGTACGAGATGGTCCGAAGAGATATTATTTTGAGGGCCAGCCACACAGTTCGAGACTCCCCGGAGTCGTACCGTGCGGTGAGCATGGATATTATTATCCTGGCCAGAAAGGCAGTTCGATGCCCCCGACACAGGACTGTACGGTCAGAGGGGATATTTTCCTAGCCAGGCAGGCAAGTTGATACCCCGCGCACCATTACCTTGCGGTCAACAGGGATATCCTGATCAGAGGGAGCAGGGTTCAGAGGAGTCTGACGAGGACGACTCTTCACCTGATCAGGACCACCCGCACCACCCCCAGAGGGAGCTCCCAACACAGCATTTTGCACGACCAGCATAGCCTACGGGTCCTAGCCAGCCTGTTCGTCCTATACAGCATGTTCCTCCTGTACAGCCTGTTCGTCCTACACAGCCTACTCCTCAACAGCAGGTTGGAAGGCGTTTTGGTAGCACTGTATCCTCATCAGGTAAATAATTTACGTATTTATTGTTGTTTAACATTAAATATTTTGACTTAATAATAACAAATTATCGGTACTGTTAGAAAAGTATTATCGGCCTTCTCCTCAACTACAATATAATTATTTTGTAATTTAGATGGACCATACAATTAATTAGTTAGAAAAGTATTATAATTATTTTTATTATTGTTATAATCAATTAGTAGTAATATTATATAATAAATTAGTTCAAAATTGTCATTATACTTTATTAATGTAAAATGTAACGTTTCTACATTAAGTTGGATGATCCTGTGATGGCAACGCGTTTTGCAGAAAAATGGGCTAAACTTAAGTTGGATTACAAAAATGCTCAATAATGACGTAATGAATGGTTTATTTTTTTGTTTTGTTTTCATTATCGAAAAACATTAAGTTGAATGATTTTTTTTTATTATTATTGTAAAACATTAAGTGGAATGGTTTATATTAAAAATAAAAAAAAAAACTAGTACCATTGATGCGATTTTCGATTGCTCTGTAACACAAACGTATGTTCCTACGATTCGAGACAGGCACGTTCTCCTGAGAGTCTGGCGGGTCGACTCAGGAGAACGAGCTTGTCTCGAAGCGTGGGAATATGCGTTCGTGTTACAGAGCAATCGAAAATCGCATCAATGGTACTAATTTTTTTTACTGCTGGGCAAGGATGATGTTTCCGGTTAGTGCTCGGCTGCCGGTTGTGTTCAGTCGATTCGGGCCGGGTTGTGTGGTTGATGTTTCAGGAGGGCTGACTCGGTGAAGCCGAGCCGTGTTTGGCTTATTCACGTGATTGGAGTGCGGGCCAACTCTCTAGTTGGTACTGGGGTGTGGGTACCCGTCTTGCTAGGCCTTCTACAGTGGCGGGTTGTCGTTTCCGTGCTCTGGAGCTGCCTTTGGAGTTGGTTTGTCTACCGTAAATCTAGATATATCTGACGGGGGAGGCTGTGTCCTCCTTTATGTTTATGTTTTAGTTTGCTTGGTCTGTGTTTTTGTTTGTTCTGTATTTTAGGATTGTGTTTTGGTCTGGGCCGTTGGCCTCTGTGAACCCGTGTGAACCCGAGTGTCACCTTATTATCCTGTTGGGATCCGACACTCGAGTATTACTCTGTTGGGGTCTTTTTTCAGTTGTGATAGTTTTTGATTGATGTTAGTGTAGTTGCGAGTTTGTTATTCTAGCGTTGCTAGACGATTCTAGGCGATCTTTAGATCTGCCTCCCAGTTGATTGTACTATTCAGCCTTTGGCTGCTTTCTTTTCGCACTTGTGTGCGGTTTTATTAATATAATACCTCTATCGTTTCAAGAAAAAAAAAGAATAAAATTTAAGCATTATATTATTATAATTTAAAAAAATTAATGATTGTAATGGAATTTAAAAAAAGAAAAAGAAAAAAATATAGTTTCTATTAAGGGGTGGTCAACTTAGAAGAGTTGCTTAGGCAAAAATTATTGCACCTGGATGTTTAGCATCTAACTCAATTTTTAAAGGATTGAATAGAATTAAAAATTTGGATACAATACAAATATGAAATAATATTCATTACAACGATATGACATATAAAATTGGTAATATTTAGATAAAATTACTAATAAAAAATAATACTATAAAATTCTTTTACATAATATTATCTTAATAAATATTATTTTATACTTTTATTTTAGTAACCCTTTGAATTTAAAAAATAATTAATTAGTTTTATTGTCGTGTTTTGCTTTTAAATATAATTCTAAAAAAAAAGACAATATTGTATGATGGTTTTATTGTAAACAAACAATATACACATATGCGAGAAAATAATAAGAAATTCAAAATTTATAAAAAAACGTAAGACTCAAATATCAAAATACTACTTGGTGAATTAATTATTCAATTTAATAAATTTTTGAAAGAAAGTTGCAAAATTAGTACCGCAAAAATGGTCAAGTTAAAAAATTAGTCTCAAGTGGTAAATCTAGTCTCATCTTGACCAACGGTGTGACCAACGATGGGGCCAAAATTGCAACAAAAAAAATAATGGACCAAAATTGCAACAACAAAATTTTGTGGGACAGAATTTGCAACAGGCCTTTAGTCGAACTAAATTTGTAATTTTCTCTATATTAATAGATCAAAAAAAGCCATAAAAAAAAAAAGACAAAAAAATCTCTCACAAAAGGTATCCAATAAACCAAAATTAGGGCTCATACACAAAACTATCGCCTCAAATTATCAGGAGGCGATGCAGATAGCTCATCTCTCTCCACTTCAATCGAAACCGAATCTTCCAATTTCCCCCATTTATGGGCAGCTCAAATCCCTCCGACCTTCCTCCCACCTGACTCCATCCATTCCCACGCTCGTCCCAAGCTTCCATGCTCACATCCACCAATTTCCTACACGCGAGGCTCCTGCCCATAAACTCCGTCAGCCGATTGCCTTCCCTAATCGTCCAATCACCTTCCGCGCCGCCCGCAATCCACGGCTGGACAACGTTCCTCGGCCGCACCACGCGAAACAGGCAGTTCAGAAAACCCTGGATCGAGTAACACGAGCCTCCCAATACGCTCAGGCTCTCGATCGCCACCGGCGCCACAAAGCCCCCGCAATCGCCGCCCGGTCCCACCACCGGGAACTCCTCGATGCTCAACGAAACTCGTGAGCGGCTCAAGGCTCGAAGAAACTCGTGCAGTTTGAGGAACCACGGCCACGGGTCCCTGTACCGGAAATCCACACAGGGGGACGCGAGTACCACGCGTGACTCCCACTCGCGTCCGGAGCCCGTCGAGAAAGAGATTGCCGGTACAAAATTGCTCGAGAACCGAAAACTGCTCATATTCGGGGCATCCACACGGGCTGCCCGGATGGGGCCCGCGACCTTAATCACCAGCTCCTTGATCGACCTGCTCGACAGCTGGAATTCCTCCAATCCATGGCAGAGAATGAGGTTGAGCAGCACGAGACAGGGGAGGCCGCACGAGAAGGCCTCGAACGAGCTTTCGGACAGGTGGACTCTGAACAGGTGTAGGGATTTGAGATTGGGGAATGATTTGCTGTGGTGGGACCAGCTGGAAAATCCCCAAATCTTGATAGTCTCTGCTCGTGGGGCGTCGATTTCGATTTCGGGCCGCCCGGCTTTTCTACGCAGTTCCTTGAAAGTAAATTCCTTTAGTTTGCTGAGTTTGTTCACCCTGATGTTGTCCCCCAAGCCCTCGCATTCGTCGAGGGACAAGTGGTCGATCATGGGGCAGCTCAAGGTTATATTGTCGAGCGTCTCGTCTGTAAAGCGGACCCTCTTGAGAGAAAGTCTCTGTAGATGCTTCAAGGGTTGTACCTTGGCCGTGGAGCTAATTCGGCTTAACCTGCAACTCTCAAGGTACAATTCTGTGAGGAACGTGATCGGCCCAGATTGGAAAACGTGCGGCGGGAGATCAAAGAGTGCCGATTTGCACGTGAGGTTGAGCTTGCGCACACCCAATATCTGCACGGCCGCCGGAATCCACTTTTCGAGGAGCAAAACAGAGTCGGGATCGGATGTTGATATCCGGAGGACGAGTTCTTGTATGCAGAGGTTTTGATCATGGTAGCCTTGTAAAGTCGTGTCGACAAAGGATAGGAACTGTTGTTTACTGCCTTCGAAGCATTCTTCGAGGAGCTTGAGGTTTGGGCGGGTAGATGTCGGGTTCTTCATGCCTGCTAATCGTTGTCAACAGGGTTTAAGAGAGTTTGGAGTAAATAACCGCCTCTAGCTAAAAGCCTAAAACCCTAGGTTATATTTATATAACAATATTTTAGATTTCTCCCCAAGTTTATAGGCCTAGAAATTCATTTTTTAATTTGGAAATAAAGACTTCAAGGAAGATTTGTCTCCTTTTTCATGGTATTCCTTGCCAACTACTACATTATTATACGTGGGAGTTACGGTACAGCCAAACCCGCTGCTTTTCAANGAATGGTGCTCAGTAAAAGAAATAAGAATAATTCGTGGCCATTAGATCGAATGATCTAATGGCTAAAAAAAATTGATCTAATGGATAAAAAAAGTCAACATTATATCTTCATTACGGTAACGTGGTAATTTACCACACATCACTCAATGATGTGGGTCCCAATACATATTAATTCAAGTCCATAACCTGCCAACTACCCCCATCAATCAGCCACCCACCCACCCCACCCTACCCTACACTCTCTCACACACACTCACACACACACACAATACACACACCAAACTCACAACACGCCGGTCAGTACGTCTGATACTCTCCGCCACCGCAGGCCGCTAGACGCTCGCCGTCCTTCGCCACCGCATGCCGCCAGACTCTTGTCGTTCGCCGCCATCGCTCCTCGCCGGACTCAACCTTTCGTACACACACAACCCGTCACACACACAATAACATGCACAAAAAATCTCAGTCGGACGTGACGTCTTTACCGCCGCTCCGATTCCCGCCGGCACGCGCTTAATCGACGTCCGCCGCTGAAAGTCTGCCAGGTGCTGCCTCGATGCCGAAGGTGTTGAGTTCTGAATCACACATGTACATATACTGATCATATATTGTACAAAAAACCATAACACAACACACACGATAGAGGCGCGATCGATCTTTTTATTAAGAAAAGTTACGCAAATATACCCTAAAAAAAATGTTGATTAAAATCAAGGTATATTAGTATATCAAATTCGTTTTCAACTTGAAAAATCTTCTAATACCAAACATAAATTATGAATAAAATATTAAAAACAGAAAAAGCAAAAACAAAAACATCTAATTCACAAACTAATTTGTATATAACTAATATACTAAACATAAACTAATATGTACAATAACTGCACATATCCCTATGATGTGCATATACTTTACATATACCGTATATATACTGACCGTACACTAATTTGTATAATGAAAAAATCAAACCAAACATCGATTTCCTACATCCAACCAATCATCTCCCCCAACCATGGCGACGCCGCAACCCTCGACGAGGACGCCGGCGGAAATTGAGGACATCATAAAACTCTTCCAAATGGTTTAAGCTTGGGATGCACTGGATCATTCATGACGAATACAGAAAATGGAAAATCCATCTCCAATCGTTATCCTCCGCCGCCATAGACGTCCCCGACCCCGCCTCCGATTCCTTACTCCTCAACCCAGGCAGGAGAGAAGCCTCGTTTCTATTCGGACCTCTGCGTCGTCGGATCAACCACTGGCATCCCGTTGGCCGGCCATCCAATCGACACCGCGGGCGGTGGGGGCTCCCTCGCCCTTCCCGGCGGAGGAAAATTTTGCCTCAGGGTTCAATCGATCATTAAAAAAATAAANAAAAGAGGAGGGGAAAAAAAAAAAAAAAGAGAGAGAGAGGGAGGGAGAGAGAGCGAGAGTGCGAGACGGAGAGGGAGAGAGAGATATTATCTTCACCCGTAAAATCAGTAACTTTCAATTAATTGTCTCAATTAATTTAAACGATTAAGTCTTAGTTATATTGGTAATATTTTAGGCTTATTTTAGTACAATTATAAATATTAATATAATGGGTCTATAATTATAATATAATTAGAATCTTGAAGTAAGGGGTGCAAATTCCTCAATTTTCATCCCTACAGTGCAATAGGCTAAAAATGTCCATTTAGTCCCCAAAATTTTATATGTTATAAACTTCCCATGATTGCTCCTTCGCGACGAGGAGGCCGCTGACATGGAAGAGCAGCTGAAGCACGAGCAAGCTCTTCGACTCGAGACGCTGACTACATCTGCATATTGTTTGGAGTAATTGCTTCATCTGCAGAAAAATTAATAAATATTATAACTACACGTGTTTGGAAATTAATGTGGCGCTAATTATACACACACACACAATTATAGGTAATCCAATTAATGCAATTTAAAAAAAATTCCCATTCTTTTTTTTTCAATTAGTTGCAGAAGAAAATTGTTACATTTTTTATTAATTAATTATAATAATAATTGTTAATATTTCAATATATAATGGCTACTACTAATATTAACTAATTATAACTTCTCATTAAATGGCACATGAAAGTTACATACTTATAAAAAGCTTCTATTCTAATACATTTTGTTTAAAATATTTATTCTATAATCGATACTATTTTTTTCATCTTATTAAGCGATTTATTTAAAATTAGTTAATTAATTTTAGTGACATAATTTATTTTTATAACAATAATAAAAGTAATTTTAATATTTCTTAGTTACTTAGTAGATCGTGATTCCTTAAAACTATAAAAGTTTTGTTATTATTTATATTTTATGTCATTAATATAGTATTCATATGTAACTTATATTTATATTTTTCATTTTTATTATGACCAAATTCTTAAATGTGTTATACTCATTATCTAACTTAATTAAAAATATTATACACATATATATAGCATATAATATTTCAGTTGTATCATAAGTGCATGTCAGAGCCGGTCCTGAGCATTCTTAGGCCCTGGGCTAAACATAAAAATAATGGCTCAATTTTTTTTAATGAAAAAATATATGTGATATCAACAACCTAACAAATTTTTTTGAAGATTAATAGAATTTATATAATTTTAAATAAAAAAAAAATAAAAAAAAATCTAATATTAAACTTATTACACCTACCTACAAAAAATAATGCCTTTGGATGAAGCTTGGAAGAGATAATATCACAAGTTTGAAAAGAAATGTAGACAAAAAAACCAATGTGCTTGCAAAAAAAATAGTAGTTATATTACTTTAAAAGGCTTATCCGTTCTTTTTCAATTGCAAAAGCATCAATATATTTTCATAATTAAGATTTTTTGTAATATTCTTTTTGATGGGTAACCCTTAAAGTATTTAAAAGAAAATAACTTTTTGCTAATAATTGAACCAAATACTTAAAGTCAAAAAAATAAAAAATTTGGTTGTTTGAATTTGAATATTAAGAAATATGAAAGTTGAAGTGGGGATCAACACTTTCAAGTTTCAACAGATTTTTTGAATTTTTTAATTTTCTAGTTGCATTAAAACTAATGAGTATCCCGTGCGATGCACAGCGGGCTTGTTTCTTAAAACATTTTTCAAAAAATTTATTTTAACAATATATTATCTCACTAACTATTTATATTAATATAAATAATATTTTAACATCTATAGTTATTTTTTGATATAGAAAAAATTATAATTTTACCTATCTATCATTATATAAAAAGAATAACTTTTTTTTTTTTTTTTTCGGAACGATAGAGATATTATATCACGAAGAGAACAAATTACAAGGCCCCAACGGGGTAATCTACGGCCCCAACAGGGTAATGGGACAGAGGCCAACGGCCCAAACCAAAAACACACCTAAAACAACAAACAAGAACGACAAACTGAGAGGACACGCACAAGGCGGCCTAGATAACTCCAAAATCGAAAATAAAGGAAAATGAACAACAGAGTCACTGCACAATGCCTAACCTGTCGACATCTCCGAAACAAAAACAACAAACACACAAAGCAGACCAAAAGGACTAACAACAAAACAAACTAAAACAATAACGACTAAACGACTAAACGACCCTCCCCCGGAGAACCGACAAAACCGAATAAGCAGCTACAACC